GTCGACCCATCCTTCAGACCCTTGAAGAAGTCTGTGTACGCAACTTCGTCAAACAGTCCTTGTATCTGAATTCTCATCAGATTGAACCGCCTGACATAGGACCGAAGTCCCTCCTTGTCACCCTGCCGGATCGCCCCTAGATCGAGGCTGGTTTTCTTGGCTGGGATATTCATGGAGAAGTTGGACGCGAACAGATATGCAAGCGTCTTGAAGTTATTGATGCACCCCAGCCAGCAAGTTGCCGAACCACTGTTGGGCTATGCCCTTTAGTGTTGCCGGGAAACATCGACACCAGGCGGCGTCGTCCAACCCCTGTAGGTACATGAGGTTGGTGTACGCCATCAAATGGTCTTCTGGGTTGGTGGTGCCATCGTAGGTACCAACCAACACATTCTTAACCTTAGCCGGCTGTGCCGCCTCGGTTATTTCGCGGGAGAAAGCCAAAGGCTGTTCCCCTAAGTTTAGCAGCCTGAGCTGCTAGTCCATGGGCTGGACGGTGTTTGTCGCCATTCTCCCAAAAGGAGAATGCTGCATGTATGGTGATCCAGCTCCAAATGGCTGTTGAGTCCCAAATGGAGCCTGATGGATCACATGAGGGGCAGTACGGATGGATGTGTCGTGCGTGTGGCTCCTCGGGTGAGTTTCCGAATGCTTGATCGAAGAATTACGGAAGCTGTCTGGGTATGTCGACGTTGAAGCCGTCTGGGACATACTCTAACCTCTCTTATCTTCGATAAACAGCCGGGCATCTGTGAAAGTCTTTTTTGAACCATCGGTTGTATTTGCCGGATGGCCTTTCGCTGCCCTGATTCGGGGAAACGAATCTTTGAGAGGTCGATTAGGGGCCCATCCCCCCCTCTAGGCTTTGGGTGAGGGGTAGGCACCCGGTCTTTGGTGGGCTTCTTTCCTGAAGCCCTCTTGGGCGACTGGCCCTTGTTGGAACCAGCTGACTTTTTGAGGATGTCGGTGATTTCCCCTTTGAAGCCACTCATGAGGTTCATGAGCTCATCTCTGGTGACGGGGGCCGACCCCTCCGCCGCCTGGGTCTGTCCGGTATGCTTGCCGCCTGGGTTGTTGGGGCAAGCCTTGTCTAGACCTCGTTCCCTTCTTTCTTTGGAACGAGTGCGCCTGGAGGTTTCGACATTGCAGTCGTCCCCACTTCCACTTTCATGATCCGTGTGGACCACAGGGTCAGCCGTGGGCCGGCTGCCCTCTGCGTTTGGTACATTTTCAGATGCCATCCAAGTGGTACTCTTCCCACAGACGGCGCCAAATGTTTCGGGGGTTTTTGAGGTGTCCCACGGGAGAGTTACAGCACCGGGAATGTACGCCTGACTTCTGTACCTGCAAAACCACGAAACTCCAGTTGGGTGGAGTTTCGCCTCCGACGGTCAAGTTAGAACAACTTCGGATGAAATTACGTGAAGGAGGTAAATTAATTCTCTCGGATTCCGGGAGATTCCGCAATTAATATTGCTCGGGTTTTGTGGATGTATTTCTGTATGTCAATAAATGAGGTAGATTCCTCTATTTATAGCAGATGGGCCTGCTCCCCCATTGGGGGTACGATACCACGTGGCATCCATTGGTTGGATGCCCATGGTGCAATGGGGGGATGACACGTGTCAGATCCCCCATAGGGCCACGTGTCCAGGGTAACTTTTACCCTAAACAGTAGTAGTAATAATAATAATAAATTAATGATATTCATGATAAAAAAAATATATAAAAAAATAAAAAATAGCATCTCAATGCCATACCTAACACTTCATTCATTTTCCATTTATCACTCTATTATTCTCATGTGATAAGATCCATATCATATTTGCTAAATTAGTAATTTATATATACCTAATTAGCACTAAATATCAAGGTTAGTCCAAACAATGCTAGCTAGAATTGCCCATATGAGTGATGTTAACTTACACTCAACTCGTTACATATTTTATTTTCATAGCTTTTATATGAGAGTGGTCAGAATGTGGGTCCCTTTTGTTGCTACTTCCTGTTGTAAGATCTCATTCGTGCATAATTCTCTATATAGTGGTCCATAAAACTCATGAGAATCGGCCAGTTCTAGTTAATGAGGTGGGAACTTCATTGTCAATTTTGTCATTGATTATTTTGAAAGTTGGGCCCAAGGGTTCGTCTATTATATATTATGGTTAACAATTGGGTAGTGATCCCCTATTTGGAAAAACGTATGTAAAGAGGAAATAAAATGAGTTGGTGAACGTACTGTTTAGCATTCAAGCGGGTTTATATAAAAGAAAAGGTAACGAGGAAAAAATGTATTTTTTTTTTTGTTTAGAGAGTCACATGGGCGGATGAGAATGTATCCCAAAATCTATGAATTTGGGAAGAAAACTCTAACCACTTACCTGTCCCTCACTCTCTAAAACCTGAAAATCTGATATCATTATGATGTGGATTTTTCAAGACTCTAACAAGGCTCGTAAGTTATAATAATATTGGATTTTTGGATTTTAACAAGAACTAAAGAAACTACACGAAAATAAAAAGGATAATATTCTAATTCTCGCAAGTCGCAACTAGAAGATGATCACGAGTCGCAACTAGTGGTATTTTTATTAACAATCAAACGAGCAACGCTAAAAGGATTAATTCCCAAAATAAATCTCTCTTCATTATTTAGAATCACTATTGATATGCACCCATATTTATAGGGTGAAAAATTGTACAAAGATAAGATAGGAAACTAATAATTATCATATCCTAATAAGATAAAATATTGAGAATCCTAATCCTAATATATCTCCTAATCATATTTGTAACCCACTACTAAATCTATCCTAAAAAAAGAAAAATTAAACAAATAAATATCCTAATGACTAAAACTCTTAAAGTCTAAAAATAGGAAAAATCAAAAGGTAAAAACCCATAGGCATAAATCCTAATAATTAATAATAACTAAAAAATAGTGTAGCCTTTTTAAAAACTCTATAAATTTTCAAGAGAACCCATGTTAGACTATTGCTCTGGCATCACTCTCGAGAAATTATATACTTAAAATTGAAAATGATGTTAGTAACTTAGTTGCAAGAAGTTTTTAAATGGGAGGATTTAATTTTAACAGTGAGTAGAGGGATTTGGATATCAATCATATTATTCAACTTGTAGACTATGGAATAAGAGGCTTTATTGAATGAGACATTTGGCAAATGATTTAAAGTGTAAGAAATAGTTTGTTTATAGTTAAAGATTTGATTAATTAATATCATACCATCATTTAGTATAGAATTTATACCCTCGTAAATTCAATATTTAGACTTCAAATATTAAATTTGACAAGTTTTTTGAAAAATAAACTGGTGTAATTTTATTGTGATTTACTCATATATTTAAGTATAAAAATCGATTTTTGGAATGTGTACATCACCCCCTTGATGGGTTGGCTGACTTGGCTCCTTTCACAGTTGCACACATCTTTAGAATACGGTTTAGGTGGACCTTAGCAAATTGACATTTTAACATGGGGTGGACCATGTATACTCAATACTCTATTACTCCCCCATATTTGTACACAACTTATGTGCTTGGAAGCACTAGACATATACCATACTTGATGCTACAAGTAAGAGACTATGTGGACTAGGAGAGGAGGGACCGCTCTAATTGAATAATTGTGATCTTTATGTAGACATCAAACGTCATTTTTGGAAAAATAGGTGAAATAGTGTTACACGACATTAAACATAAGAGACTACAGTAATAACAAAATGTAGGCAAGATTGAATATTAATTCTAAGTTACCAACTAATTTAGTTAATTTTATTTTTATTTAAAAAGTGATAACCACCATATAATACATGAGATAAAATTCTGTTACATATCTTAATAAAAATAAATTAAAAAATTACGCCCAAGTTAGTCAACGTGAAGTGACAAGTCGACCTTTTTATTTTTGGGTGGATTCGTTATTTTATTTCTTGTACATAGAGCATATTGAAATTGTAATGATTCACATCATTAAATCACACACCCCAATTGATTTTTGAAAGTAAATGGAAGGTCTTATGGTCTTACGGAAACTCAAAACGAAAAAGATACAAGTGGGACATGAATGAAAAGCAATAGAAAAGCCAATGTCACATTCTCCTACCATTTTTCATGTCGTTCCAAAAACCTATAAGCCCACTGAGAGCTTCACTGTCCTAGATGAGAAATGATAACTTATTACTTTACACACACCTTAATTACATTCACAAATTTCCTCCTTCTTTTAACTTGACCTATTTGCATTATATATTTAATGAAAAAACACTTCTATTTGTATAATGAAGGCACATTCTATTCATGTCATATCCTAAATATAATCAAACATCTGAAAGCAACAGAAAAAGATAAGAAATTTTCATCCTTATATACCATAGCTAAAAGGATTCAAACTTAAATTACAAAGTAAATCACGAACTATCCTTACTCGGTGTAATCACTATGATGATTAATAAGTATAATCAATCTCATTATGTGCTTATTCTACCTTACATAAAACAATCCTCCAATAAACGAGTATCATAAGTAATACGGAGATACGAGTATTGCTTTGACAAATACACATATTATCATCCGTTACTTTGACAGTTCACCTTTATCCACCCTCAATTGACAACTACTCAGGACTCGATCGGTAAAACCTATTCGTTATCGCTAGTTTTACCAAACAGAACATACGAGTGTTACATATAATACGAATATACGAGTGTTACAATTTTAAGTGAAACGGAGGAAATACAAGATAATCAAACTACTCCACCATGGTTCGAGGGGAAAGGAGAAAAGATGTCACTGTCGGTAAATGTACGGACAGAAGGCTAGGGGAATGACCACTCCCCAAAAAAAATACTAGAGAGTGGGACCCACATCCATACCTGATAGGACCCACTAAATTCATACTGCTCCGTCAGAGATGGAGGGCGCTAAATGGGCCCCACCTCCTTCTCTTCCTCCTCTCCTAGTCTCAGTTCCTAGCCTACTACAACAGTATCTCTATTTGTTTTTTTCTTCCCACTTTTCATTTTCAGTGACCTATTTTATCTAAAAATTTAAATAAAAATGAAAATCTCCTAAAAAATCTGGGTCACCATTGTCTCCAAAAGTGGAAAAAGGAGAGGATGAAGCAAGGTTGTTTTGTTTGTTTGTTTGCATTTTTTTCAGAGTGATTATTTTTTGGAATTTTAACCAACAAAAACAAAAAAAAAAAGAAAAAAGAAGAGAAAAAAGTGGCTGATTTTTTGTTAACCTCTCATAATCTTTCTTGTTATTAGCCTTTTTTTTCTCTGTTTTATTTTTTACTTGCTTTTCTTTCTGTGAACTGAACCTTCATTTTGTTCTTCTTCACTTCAGGTATTGATTCTATCTCCTTTTTTTTTTTTTTTTTTTTTTTGGGTTTATGTTTTTAGTAAATCTAGGGTTCTGTTTCTTTTGTAATCTTGAATTTTGTGATATTTATTTTGTTGGGTTTCTAGTGATTGAACTTTTGTTTGGAGTTTTGTTGTTTGACATACGGAAAAAAAGGCCTAATCTTTCTTTCTGGGTTTTATGTTTTTTTTGAAGACTTACTGTTTTTGGCATTATTTGGTGTTCATTGTTCATTTATTAAGGTTATATTTTTGTTGGGTTTTTGAAAGTTTGCATCTTGCTGTGTGCTGGAATATGGGTTGATAATTTATGTTTCATTTTCTGAGGGTTTTGAAGAATTATGATTGCTTAGATTTTGATGTTTTAATGCGGATTTTTCATGCTGGGTTATGTGCATTTTTGTTAAATGTTAAAAAAATCTGGTTAGAGATTGCATTTTGTTCTCCGGCTAATTAATTTGTGCAAAGTTGGAGGATGTTGTTTGATCTTATGTTACTTAGACTTGGATACTTATGTTTGCCACGGCTGGAGATGTGTCTAAGTGTTAGACTCGGCTATTTAATGTTAATAAATTCATGTTTTTGGTATAAAATGAAGAGTTCGAGTGGTGGGATCTCACCCAATTGAATGTCATTTTTTGTAAAAGTAATAATTTTTGGGGTTAAATTCTGTGTTATTTTGTTCCCTTATCCTATATAAGCTTATTTTTAGTGTCAGATTAGTGAATTATTTCTTCTGGCATTATTGTAGGGGTGAAAGTTCTGAGAAACACTTATTGCGGGTGGTTAAGTGAATTGGAAGCTGTTGTTGAAGCTGAATACTGATAAGTAGTATGGAGAAGAGTAAAGTTGATGGTAATGTCTCTTTTAGTGGTCACATTAGTCATGGACTCGCTTCCTCGACTGGCGAGAACAAAACAAGTGTACATAATCCTAGAGATGCCGAGGTTTCTACTGTTTTGTCTGAAAGGTTTCACTCTGCACAGCAGACTTCTGTCAGGAGCGATCTGAGATCAGAAACTGGACAAACCTCTAATGGAAAGAGGAAAGAACCAGATTATTCATCTGTGACGGCAGAAGTCTGTCATGAAAGTCATACCAACAAGGGGCCTGACCATAATAAGCTACTCAAAACTGATTCAGCATCATCTAAAGAAAGTGGTGAAGTGGTTCAGCTAAGTTCAGTTGATTCTACTGATCCGAAACCATGTCAGTCCTCCAATGAAGATTTGGTTGAGAGGAAACCATTTTTAACTCAGTCACATGAATCAAAAATTGTTTTTCTAGAGCATGAGTCATCCGTTGTAACTACAAAATCAGATTCTACAGCTATTAGTTTGCAAAGCTCACGTCATTGTAACTTTGATCTGAATGAAGGTATGGAGGAAAATGGAGCAGAATTCCACAAAATTCCACCAATATCAGTGGTAGCAAAGGTTGGGGTTCCTATGGGCTTGCCTCAGAAACCGTTGCAGTTTGGTGGAGAGCTTGGATGGAAAAGGTCAGGAAATATCAGCGCTTTCCGTTCCACTTCTTTCATGAATTCTGAAAGAGGAAGTATAACTAACAGTAATAGAGGGTTTGACCTCAATGTTGCTGCAACAATGGATTCAGAATATCCTGGTGAAGAGACTTCTGTGGACTTCACTTCAAAGCAGCCTGAAAAATTTCTCCTTGACCTGAATTGCCAAAGTGCAAGTGATGTAAATCATCATAAAGCTAGTGCATCAAGTTTTGATCTAAATGACAATCCTGTGATCGAGGATACACAGAACTACATTCATCATAATCAACACAGTGAAAACCAGCAGCTGCTCAGAAAAAGTGTTGCAGCTAACACAGCCACTTGTTTCAGAGGAAATGCCAGTCAATCCAATTTTGAATTGGGAAGACCTTCATACTGGGTTGATCTTAGTTCTATGCGAGGCTTTAGTCACGTTCAACCCCACCCTTTTCTTGTGGCTGCCCCGACAGCTGAGCAAGTGCAGATGATGATACCTTCTGGACTTTACATCGGAAAAGTTAACAATTTATCCCCTACATTACATCCCCCTAGTCTCCACCACACCTTAACAATCAGCATGGTGCTGCTGCACTTCCCCAAATATCAGGTTCTGTTCTTGCAGCCTACCCTGGGGCTGTCCAATTCCTGGAAAGTCCTCAAGGACTGAATCCTCATGCTTTAGCAAACATGAGACCGACTTTCTTTCCCAATGGTAGTATACCTCTTATGGAAAATGGAAGCAGGGGATTTGGCACCCCGGAGCTTTTGATTCCATTGAAGAATGGATTTTTTGAGGCAAGAGAGAGGCCAGTTGAACAGGTAGCTTTGCCGCCTTCTCAAATTAATTACAGACAGATGGCCTCCTGGAACTAGAATTAAGTGAAAATCTTATTTATCTGATCTAACAGTTCTAGTAATGCAATGTACATAAGTTGAGTAGCAACTAGATTCTAGACTATTGTAGATTGCTTACGGGAAGTCAGACAACAGTTATAATTGGGATTTACTACACGATTGGGTCCTCGTCAGTTCATCTTTTACACTTGCTTCAGATTGGCATAGGCGTTCATGTATGTTATGTATTTGATTCTCAAAGATGGTGAAGTCACATTTATTGAAGTTGACTTAACCATAGAACTGCAAGTGTTTGAATCTTGTTCTGACATTGAGGTTAGTTCTGTACAGAGTACTAGTTTGCATTTTTCAATTTGATCTAGCCATGTTTTGGGATTTATTTGATGTTTGTAAGTTCTTTCTATCTATGTTTCCTAGAATTTTCTTGTGCTTTTATTATACATTCTTTGCTTATTGCTCAACTGTTCGCTTTGCAATTAGTTGGACATCAATAGCATGTCATTCTGAATCATTCTTTTTTTTTTTTTTTCCTTTTTTTTTTTCTTTTTTTTTCACATAAAACCTACTTATGTTCATTGTTTTGTTCTGTCATTTTGTTGTGAATAGTTTGTTGAAGTTTCTTACAAAGATGCCAATTTGATATGTTTGAATAGAATGAAACTCCTCATAGTGACTTCTGAAGAAAGAATATTTTGCTCCCACAGTTATGTCTGGTATAGCAACCTTCATGAGCCCCATATATAGAATTCATCTAGTACATTTGTTGATCAATGATTGTTAGTAGTCGCCACTTGATTGGACATAACTATATGCACCTTGTCCTCAATGCCTTAGAATTTCAGAATCATCAGATGAACTGAAGGTTTGTTAATTGTATCCTAACACCTTGGCCAGTCTAAGCATTAACAGTCTTCAGATGCGATATACTCTGCATTTCTTGTTGGCTTTGGGAGAACACTACTTTGGGCTTTATAAAGTTGTTGATAACACACTGTAGTCTCCATTAACAAAACTGAAATTTGGTATGAAAATTTTCTTTAACCCATAATGCTTTCTGTTATTTTGTCTATCGCAAAAATACCAACATTATATATTGAAACTATATGCGAATGACTCGAGTAATGTTATGATTGAAAATCTAACATGTTAGGTGCCTATTACATCTGACCAAAGTTCCTTCCTTTGAAACAAGTATTGTAAAGACTGAACTGATATCTCAAATACTAGTAGAAAAATACACAGCTTTTGATTGAATTGATTACAGTATTTAACAACTATAATTACCAAGATTGACAAGGGGTGGAATATCAAATTTCGCAAAAGTACTTCAAAACCATAGGACACCATCCTTTATTTAAAAAATTATATAATAAAAAAAAAAATAAAAAAAAAAGGCTTGTGAAACATGGACCTTGGGCTCAACTTGCAGTTTGTCCAAACCGTTTATTGGGCCCAGCAAATTTACCAACATTTTTTTAGTAGCTAAGGAGAAGCGTTATGTTGTACTTGTATATTACACATACCAATCGGACTCAATCTAACAAACAACTAAACAAGACCTTATGTGAGGGGGGAGGTAAGAGAATCCCACGCCAAAAAATTGTTAGTGAGAAATTAATGGAGTAATGATGCATGAGTTGTTTGTTTTTGGAGATTAGGGACATTAAGTACAAGCTAATGTTTTAAAATTTATTTTTACCATATTTGGAGATTAGGGACATTAATGGAGTATAGCATATGAATTTTACAATAAATCCAGTAATCTTTTTTATGTCCATAAACAATAATGAAATCGTAGAAATTGACAATAATTTAGGAAATCTCCCATACAATCATCCAAGTACCGTTTTAGAGTTTTAGTTGTAGCACCATAATCCTAGGTCGTAAGCTTGTAACTTATAAGTGGTTTGCCATATATGTTCGTACTATATAATATTGTACATTAGTTAATGATATATGAATATAATTACATAAATTTATGAGATTGGAAAGTTTTGCTTACTAAATCTCAAGAGTAAATTATTCCAATCTCCTCCTACAAGAAGCAAAAGACAGTGGAGGTCTCACTTCATTTCGTACTTTCCTGGTCATATTTCACACTTTATTTATTTTCATAAAGCTGTTATAAAGCAGTTACATGCACTACAATTCATCCACTTCCTTCTCTTTTTTCATTTCATTTTTTAAAATTTATTAATTTTATTTATAGCAATTATAACTTTGTAAGTATGCTTTAGAATGAAGAAATGAAAGTGATGGGTGTAATTCACTAGTTTTTGCATGTTATATTACGGGGTGTAACATGTACTTTGGACCATCTAGCCAGGCTGGTTTTCACTACAATTTCAGTTACCTTTATCTCAAATTTTCAAATTATGTTTTTTTTAAGGGATTTTTTGCATACCCATATGTCTAAGTTATAGATGTTCCAAAGATGTTCTATGATAGAACATAGAAGTAATTAAGTAGATAGACGATTAAACAAGATCGAATCCTTACAATGTACGTAACTCTCCATAGTCTCCAAGGCATTCCACCTCCATTGACAAACTTCGGATAGGAGTCCATTGGGAAGCCTATTGTGCATTGCTCGCCTATTAATCTAACTCTTTATAGTGTTGATATTATCATATTATCTCTTTTAAAAAAATATATCGACACGAGTAATAATAATAAAAAAAAAAAAAAAAAACTAAATTGTAATTTACTAAAAATGAACTTAGATCATATAATATACGAAGTATTAAACAACTAAGGGACAAATGTAGTTAAACAATTTAGGGACAAATGGAGAAATTTATAGAGTACCCCTTTTGTAAATCTATATTAGTAGGCAATTACGCAGGATATGATGAGGAAGTACTTAATTACTACTTAAAAATAAATGCAAAAAGGTGAGCAATATTCTACTCTTATGGTGTGAATGTGATACTCGACAAACATCCATCTTTGACGACAGAGGTCAGATCTACACGATTACACACCAAACTTCAAACATTTTTTTAAGAATTTTTTTTTATTTGTTATTATTAATATTATTTATTTATTTATTTATTTTTGGGGTTGAATAAATAAATAAAGATGAATATTGAATAATAAAAGGAGGTAGGGACTAGGGAATATCAGCGCAGACCATGGCATTAGCATCGGTAACGCAAGGATCTTCGCTTAGCTTTTCAGTGAATCTTTGTTTTTTTAGTTTACTTTATAAAAAATTGAAGACCACAGACTGTAAATGTCAACTAATTTGGTTAAATTCTTCGCTATCTTTGAATGAAATTACATTAAATCTTGTCTACAACATTGTCTATTTTACGAATAATTACACCCTCAAACAAAAAAAAAATGTTCTCATAAAGTAGGTGATTATAATGCTATAGGTTGAATTAGCATTTGCATGTGGAATATTGAGTATGATGCTTTCTAGCTTAGTCTCTATATATTCAATAACCAATAAGACAGCGAACCAACGATATCAATAAGGATTGCAAACACATGCGGTTCTTCTCTTGATGAGTTGATTCCCTTACTTTCCATATTAGTCTCCTTACTTCATCATTTCTACTTTAGACTAGCTTTATTTGTTAATGAATGGATTAGGATCAATGTTTAATCCATGATTAAGAGGAGATCAACCATCTCTAACGAGGACCTCAACATTTCCTCTCCGTTCTTTTTTAATTTTTAATTCTTATGACTTCTTTTTATGTCTCATATATAAGCTTCTCAAACCAAAAACTAAAAAACGAGGTTATTCATTTCCATATGCTAATGTGTTCCAATACTGCTTTCCTACTGTTAAGAACTAATAAAAATCTACTTGTGAATTGTCACGCATTGAAGTTACAAATATCCTTAAAATTAATGCCAACTAAATAAATTTTGCATCGAACCTCATTTGTTATTAACGAGTGTATCTCAAACCCATATAATCCCATCCACCTTTTAGAATCATTGTTTCTTAAAGTTTCTCAAAACTATTTGTACGAATAATGAGAAAAAATAAAAAAGCTTTACCTGATAATTTGTTTTGTTATACTCCAAAATAAAATCAAACTATATATTCGTGCATCATCATCATTATCATCATCATATTTTACAAGTCCCTAGATAATAAGGGTCAGTATAATTCTATATTCCAGCTTCTTAGGCCTTGTTTAGTTCACCTTATTTTTACTTATTTCAGAAAAAATAAGTTCAGATCAGATCAGAAAAAATAAGTTCAGATCAGAACATCGTTTTATGTGCGGTTTTTTATCGCTAAATATTCTTAATTTCGTAATGAAAAAAATTGTGAAAATTACATATTAATAAACTACACATTATTACGAATTTAACAAGATCCCACTTGATATATTTTTTCCTTATAGATTATCGTACACTTAAGGTCAAAGTTTGGTCAAATCAGACAATCAGATCAGATCAGATCAGGTTAGAAAAAATAAGTTCATATCAGATCAGATCAGCATAAATAAGGTGAACCAAACATGCCTTACATATAAACTAGTTCCATTTGACAGACTGTACAATTTCTTGCATGCTTTTGTCCCTTTTATTATTGTAGACAACATTTTAGATTTTAATTAAACAACTTAAATTGTTTTGCTTGATCAATGCTATTCCAAATATAATCAAACTATATATTTGTATTGTTTTGCATGATCAAGTAGTATATTCCAAATTACAGCGCTTAAACAACTTCACAAACGCCTTTGAATACTTCGTATTTGTTTTTGGTTAAATTGAAACTTTAATTAAATTAATCCAAGTGTGCCAAAACATACATAAATAACCCTTTATTTTTCATTTTAA